AGTTCACTACTCCACCAACAGTGCATTAGTGTCCCAATTTTCCCCTATGCCCTCCAACATTTGTCATTTTCCTTTTCTGTCATATTAGCCAAAATGATAGGTTTGGGTACCTCAGAGTTGTAATTTTCACTGCTTTTATCTATAATGATATAAAACATTTTTTTCATATGACTGTAGATAGCTTTGATTTCTTTATCTGAAAATTGTCTGTGCACGTTGTTTGACCATTTATCAATTGAGAAATGACTTGTATTCTTTTAAATTTGATTCCATTCTCTGTATATTTGAGAAGTGAGGCCTTTCTCAGATAAACTTGCTATAATTTTTTTCCTGCTTTATTTCTAATCTTGGCTACATTGGCTACATCAAAATTATCCATTTATATCTCATAATGCTCTCCATCTCTTGTTTGGTTATAAATTCTTCCCTTTTCCATAGATCTGGTAAGTAAATATTCCATGCTCCCTTGATTTACTTAAGGTGGTGCCATTTATATTTAAATCATGTACCCATTTTGACGTTTTCATGATATACTGTGCTAGATGTTGATCTTTACCTAGTTTTTGTCAAACTTTTTCAGTTTTCCAAGTAGTTTTTGTCATAGTGAGCTCTTATCCCAAAAGCTTGGATCTTTGGATTTGTCAAACACTAGATTACTATGATCATTTACTATTGTATGTTGTATACCTAATCTATTCCATTGAGCCACTATTCTAATACTTAGCCATTATCAAATTGTTTTGATGATTTGTCTGAGATTGTGATTTCTGCCCCTGCTTTTTTTTTAACTTCATTTGAAGCATAATAGATTCTTCTCCAACTCCTTACCTTTACTCTGTGTGTATCTCTCTGCTTCAAGTGTATTCTTATAAATAGTATATTGTAGGATTCTAGTTTTTAATCCACTTTGCTCTCTGTTTCCATGTTATGGGTGAGTTCATTTTATTCACATTCACATTTATGATTGCTAATTGTGTATTTCCCTCCATACTGCTTTACCCCCTTGTTTATCCTTCTCTCTCTTTTTGCTTTGTCCATCCTCAAAATTATTTTGCTTCTGACCACCGTCTCCCCCAATCCTCCCTTGTATCAATTCCCCACTTCTGCTGTCCCCCTCCCCACTACTTCTCTGTAGGTTAAGATAGATTTCTATACCCAACCGAATAACTATGTTTATTTCCTCTTTGAGCCAGTTCCAGTGAGAATAAGGTTTAAGTGTTACCTGCCACCCTTCCCCTTTCCCCCTCCATTGTCAAAACTCTTTTGCATCTCTTTCATGTGAGATGATTTACCCCATTCTGCCTCTCCCTTTTCTATTCTCTCAGTACATACTTCTTTCTCCCCCCTTAATTCTTTTTATATCATCTATCCAGTTGTTTTTATGTCACCCACCAACATCCTAACCATAATCAACACATACCCATGCCTTCTGTCTATGTGTACTTTTTCTAACTGCCCTAATAATGATAAAGTTCTTAAGAGTTAGAAATATCATCTTCCCATATAGGAATGTAAACAATTTAACCTTATTGAATCCCTTGTGATTTCTCTTTCCTGTTCACCTTTTTATGCTTCTTGAATCTTGTATTTGAAAGTTAGAGTTTCTATTCAGCCCTGGGCTTTTCATTAGGAATGCTTGAAAGACCTCAATTTTATTAAATGTTCATTTTTGCCCCTGAAGGATTATATTCAGTTTTGCTGAGTGAGTGGTTGTTGGTTGTAATTCTATCTCTTTTACCCTCTGAGATATTATATCCCAAGCCCTCTGGTCCTTTAATGTAGACATTGCTGAATCCTGGGTTATTCTCAGTGTAGCTCTGTGATGTTTGAATTATTTCTTTCTAGCTGCTTGCAGTATTTTCTCCTTCACCCAAGAACTCTGGAATTTGGCTGTAATATTCTTGGGAGTTTTCATTTTGGGATTTTCTTCAGGAGGTGATTGGTGGATTCTTTTAATTTCTATTTTCCCTCTGGTTCTAGGATATCAGGGCAGTTTTCCTGGATAACTTCCTTTTTTTTTTTTTAACCTGTAACATTCAATTTTTTAAAAAAATTTACAGCTTCAGAATAGTTTCAAATGTAGTGACTTTTCCAAAAAATACCAAAAAGTACAGTGTAAAGCACCTTCTCATTACATACAAACTTTCTTTTCATGATGCATTGCATCAATGTTTTGCATTGATCTTGATGCAGAAAGAATTTTATGTTGTATCCTGGAACATAGAAATTATATACACTGAAACAGGATGACTAACACCGGTTAGCTGCTTAAACTCTAACAGTGGGACTTTTTTCCCCTTAACAAAATTGATCATTTTTTATGTTTGTTGAAAGTCAGTACTCAAGACTTTCAACTTAGTTGTAGCAAATGCAAATTTGTATTTTTAAAAAGAAAACTTTAGATTGAATAATGTTATGGAAGCATTAAGACAAGAAGCTTGAGAAACCAAAACCAGTCCTGTTGCTTGATGTACTTAATGTAAACATTCAATAAGGGATTTCAAAATAAAACATCACCTACATTACTTTTGTAGAATCATTTCCAAGACTAATTCAATAGGAGAACAAAAATAGTTTTTACTCCCCTTTCAATTTTTTCCACAAAATATTATGGTAGCAAACTTGTATTAAGGTTTTGGTTATTTCTTTTTTAAATTCATCAATGCCTTGATAACTTCTTGAACTATAATGTCTAGACTCTTCTTTTGATTGTCGCTTTCAGGTAGTCCAATAATTCTTAAATTATCTCTCCTGGATCTGTTTTCCAGGTCAGTTGTTTTTCCAGTGAGATATTTCACATATTTTTGTATTTTTTCATTCTTTTGCTTTTGTTTTATTGTTTCTTGATGTCTTGTGGAGTCATTTATTTCCACTTGCCCAATTCTAATTTTTTAGGAATTATTTTCTTCATTGAGCTTTTGTACCACCTCTTCTATTTGGCCAGTTCTGCTTTTTTTAGTTCTTCTCTTCATTGAATTTTTGTATATCTTTTTTTTTTCCACTTGGCCAATTTTGCTTTTTAATGAGTTTACCTCTTCAATGGATTTTTGTGTGTGTGTGTGTCTCTTTTACTATTTGGACTATTCTGTTTTTTAAGGTATTATTTTCTTGTGTCTCCTTTACCAAGCTGTTGGCTCTTTTTTCATGATTTTCTTATATCACTTTTATTTTCCCCCAATTTTTCCTCTACCTCTCTTATTTGACTTTTTGGTCCTTAGACCTATTCATATTTTTCTTTGTGGTTTGCCTGTGGCTGCTTTGATTTCATTGTCTTCCTTTGAGTTTGTGTTTTGATCTTCCCTGTCACAATAATAACTTTATATGGTCAGGTGTTGTTAGTGTTTGCTCATGTTCCCATCCTATTCCTTGACTTTTAACTTTAAGTTAAAGTTGAGTTCTGTTCATTAGATGAAAGGGATACTATCCCAAGAATTAGGTCTTTCTTGTTGTTGCTCTCAGATCTAGTTCTGGGGATCTATAAGGCTCTAGTTCTTCTAAGGTGGTATGATGTAAGGAGAGTTATGGTCACTGTTCTTCTGGCTTGTGCTATGTGAGTAACCACAAGTGCTCATTTCTGCCCTGGGACTGTGACCTGGAACCAGGTATGGGCAGTGCAACAGAGTCTTACTCCCAGTGTTATCAAAAGGTCCCCTGTAATCTCCTTCTGACTGGTTGTCCAATTGCTTTACTGTCTGTGGGCTGAGATTCTGGAAGCCACTAATGCTGCAATTCAGTCAATCCCCAGGCCTGTTGCTAGTTTGCAGAGGTGTGGACTGTATTAGACTGTACTCCATTCACACCCCAGTGAGATAGACCTTTTCTTCCAGCCTTCTAAGGTTTCTTGGGATGGAAAATTGGTTCGCCCTGACCTTTTATTGGTTCTGCTGCTTCAGAATGGGTTTTGAGGTGTTATTTTAAAATTGTTTGGAAGGGAATTTAGGAGAGCCCAGGCAAGTCCCTGCCTTTACTCCGCCATCTTGGCTATGCCCCCCATCCCCAGTTCTTCTCTTTGCATTTGTGAAGTGCTGAATTTTTTAAAGAAATTTTTTAAAAGAGAAAGGAAGGTCAGTACTGTCCTGGGCTTTGGTTGATAATAGCCAATAGGCTTGAATAAAGTATTAAATTTGGATAAAGTGAACCAGAAGCAATAGCTGAGTGATGACATTAGAGTGAAAGTCTCAAATTTCAGTAGGAATAAGGAGTATTTTGATTTTATTTCCACAATGGGTGAATGAGGAGCTTTGGAAGAAAGTACAGCAAGTGCTAGAAAGGAAAGCCTGAAATTGAGTGTCATCTGAGAGGAGCCAGACCTTAGAGCCAGAAGAAGAAGAGAACATGGGAGGAAAGAATCCAAAATAGAGGAAACTCATTAATTATAGAGCAAGAGTTTCAAAGGGCACGATGAAAGTGGTGGACAGATATGGCATGGAACATTATGGGAAGTGATGTTGTCAGAGTGGGGAGCTAGCCTTGAGGTAGTTAGGGATGAAAGAGTAGACAGTAGAAGTTTCATCAAATAACATTCCTTGATTATATTATAAATTAATTGAACTTTCAAATAATCTTAGAGCATGAAGGATCCTCAGAAGGTCAGTAAAGTCAAGATCACTAGACTATATTTTGCAGTCTTTACTCTCTTCCCTTTTTATTGTTTTATGTTTTTGTTATCTTTTTAAAAAACACTCAATAATAATTTATTAAGTACTTTCTATATGTCAAGCAGTGTGCTCAGTATTAGAGACACAAATATAAAAACAAGGCATTCCTTGTCCTAAAGTAGCTCTCATTTTCCCTATGAGTCATTGTAAGTATCCCATGTAAAAATCATCCAACTAATCTTAGTAAAACTTAAGTTGTTGGTATTGTTCAGTTTATTTTTATCTTCTTAATAATGTTATACTAATAACACTTAACAGAAAATCCATAACTCTTAGAAACTGCATCCTTGTCAGTGTTCTGGATGTAGATATTAAGTTTTGATTTTCAGTGTTTATTTGCAGGATGAAGATGAGTTGGATTCCCATACCATGGTGAAGACTGGTTTGGAAAGTGTGGGCACCATGAGGGCTATCAACACAATGAGTGAAGGTGCTCAGACCATGATTGAACACAATACCACCATATTAGAATCTGACTTGGGAACCATGGTCATAAACAGCGAAGATGAAGAAGAAGTAGATGGAACTATGAAAAGTATGTCCTTTTCCCCTTTTGAATCTTACTTTCTTATCGTGCAGAACATTGTCTTTTAGAAATTATCATCTTAATGGAATGTCATGTAATTTTAGGAAAAGACGTACGAAAAAATTGTTGTCATCCAAAACAAACATAAGAACCAAGCATGATATAAAGTTAAATAGGCTACCAGCAATTTAATGTGGTATAGTATGAAAAATCAGGGAAAGAAGGGAATTTTTCTTTCCTATTCTACTTATTAAGAACAACTGGACCAAAAGGGAGGGAAAAATCAGTGTTTAGTTGTTGAGAATTTTTAAAAGAGAAATTATTTAAAATGTTACATTTGACTGCTTTTTAAAATTAAGAATATAGTACATAAAATTCTGAGGAATAAAGGGAAAGGAGACAAAGGCAGGTAGACAAACATAACAGCAAGAAAGGGAAGAACACACACACACACATACACAGAAGAGGTCAAGTGACAGAAAAAGAACTTTAGTGAAATAAAGTTTTTATTTTGTTCCTGATTCTTGTTTCTAAATTAGCATTGTGGAATTTTTGCTAGCACAGACATAAACAGTGATATGCTTCTCCTTTTAAAAATGGCAAAATAACCCATTTAAATTAACTTTAGGGGCTTAGAGTTTCTCTAACTGTGCTTTTAGCATATAACAAATTCTCATCCCAAAACCAAGCAAATATTTCCAATGAAAATCTTTTTTGTGAAATAATAAATTTTCTATTTGAGTAATAGAATGTGTAGTACCATATTCTATCTAGAAGGATTTTGGAAAAATAAATTTACTATAGCAGATAGAAGCTTAGCTGCAAAAAAAGACCAAGTCTGAAATTCAATTACAATGAAATGTCATAGTTCACATTTCTGAGGAGTAAAAATTCTGGCATGAATAACCCTATAAAATTTACTGAATTGCCATCTAGTTTCTCCATTTGAGCCACAGAATGCACGGTACTGCTACGAGAGAGAGAGAGAGAGAGAGAGAGAGAGAGAGAGAGAGAGAGAGAGAGAGAGAGAGAGAGAGAGAGAGAGAGAGAGAGAGAGAGAGAGAGAGAGAGAGAGAGAGAGAGAGAGAGAGAGAGAGAGAGAGAGAGAGAGAGAGAGAGAGAAAAAACCTTTTTTGGAAACTCCTTGACTATCTGATAGAACAATCAACTAACATTTATATGTAATTCTCTCTCTTTCTCTGGGACACATGCGTGTCACACACACACACACACACACACACACACACACACACACACACACAGTGAAATTTCCAACCCCACCACCACCTTCTGATCTTTCTAGACAGCCTCGTGTCTCTTCTCTGCCTTCCTTTCTACTAGGAAACAGATACTGACTATTGGACCACTCTTTGAACACTTCACCTTTAACACCTTACTATTAAAGGCTATACCTAGTCACTGGCCTACTTCCCAGCCATTTAAGGTACAAATCTCTGGCTGCCAGTCTATTCTTTGGATACATGTTGCTATCCTATCTTCTAAAGGACATATCTTTCTTCTTTGGCTTTTATTTACTGCCTTCCATGGAGCAGTAATCTTAACTAATTCTCTACGTCTGTTATCCTTTTATCAGCTCACTTGACCCACCTGTTCTGGTGAGGAAGAAACTTTGTGTGACTCACCTTGTACTCATGAATTTAAGCCTTTATTAATGCAGAACACTGCATGGTGGAAAGATACTCCTTCAGTAACATTCAGAAAGAAGTAAAAGGAGACTGGCTGTGAAGTAACTGTGGATTAGGAGGGGGAAGGATCACAGAGCTGCAGAATTTTAGAGTTGGAAGTCATCTCTGTAGCCATTTAGTATAACCCATACATTAAAGGAATCCCTAATATAACATATCCAGCAAGTCGTTGTCCAGACTAAGCTTGAAATAAGTGGCCCTACCACTGCTTGAGGTGTCCCATTCCACTTTTGAACATATCTGATTGTTAGAATATTTTTTGTAACATCAAAAGCCTAAATTTGCCTCTTTGCAACATCCACTTATTGCTTCTGTTTTGCCCCAGGGACCAAACAGAACAAGTCTAATCCTTTCTTCATGTAATAGCCTTTCAGATACCTGAAGATGGCTATCCTATCCTTTCTTAGTATTATTTTCTTCAAGTTAAACATACTCAGTTCCTTCAGTACCTTCAACTCTTTCTCATATGAAATGAACTCAAGGCCTTTCACCGTCTTAGTTGCCCCTTGGGCACTCTGCAGCTCATCAATATCATTCTTAAATCCAAGTGCTCAGGACTAAACACAGTGCTAGAGATGAGGTCTGCCAAATGAAGAAAGGGCTTCTTACTTCAGTCGTCCTGAAAGCTGTGCAACCAAAGATCATATTAATTTTTTGGCTGCTGTATTATACTGTTGATAAGCTTTAGTCCACTAAAATGCCTGTCTCTTTTTTCATTTCAATTAAATGTTTTGCATTTTTTTACTTGTAAAGTTGATTTTTTTGTACCCTAGTGTAAGAGTTTACATTTATCTCTATTGAATTTCATCTTAATAGATTCAAGCAAAAGAGCTAGCCTTTTAGGTACTGATTCTGTCATCTGGTATGTTTGCTATTCCTCCTAGGTTTGTATCATCTACAAATTTAATGAACATGCAATCTATGATTTACTCCAAATCATTGATCAACATGGAGAGGACCAAGCATAAATCCTGGGATACACTATTCTTTGGATCCTGCCATCCAAACCAAACAATTCTGAATCTTTCTTATTGTGTTATCATTCAATCTATTTCTTTTTATTATTTCCACAAAAATAATATATTATGCTCCATCAGAGCCTTGCCAGAATATAAGTAAACTATATCAACAATGTTTATTGATCCTGTAAAAAAAAAGGAAGGGTAGCTAGGAAATCATGACCTGTTCTTGGTGAAGTCATGCTGGCTTTTTGTAATTTTCCCTATCTAGATGTTTGCCCACTCTTTTTAATCAACTGTTCTAGAATTTTCCCAGAAATTCAAATCTGGCTTATGGGCCTATAATTTTAAGACACAGTTCTCTTCCCTCTTATGAAAATATGAACATTTGCTCTTATCTAATTTTGTATTATTCCTCCTATTGTTCATGGTATTTCAAGTAGTAGTAAAGCAGCAAAAAGTAAGGAACCTTATTTGTACTTTTTCTTTTCTATGGGTCATCATAAATCTTATACTTTTCTCCCCCACTGCAACCCTCACCAAGCTGTTTTTCAGTGGATATCTGTCAAGTATATGAATGTCCCTAAAGATTCTGCTCTCATTTACCATTCCTGGAAGGAACACTCAAGGGAGGGTAGCAAGTTCTAATCAATTCCCTTTTATCTACTCACATTCTCTCTGTTCCCCCTCAACTTCTTACAAAATAAGAGACCTTAAAATACTTCTGCCAAGGCTTCTCTTTGTGCCAGAGGCACCAAATCAGTTATTACTGGTCAAAAAAAAAAAAGACTCTAAATTAGTCCAGTACCACTCCCCTCTTCCAACCTCTCTCCTCATTTCTCCCAAGTTTGGGTTTTTGTTTATTTTTGCAAATATCAGGCAATTCTGACATATTCCTATTTACTCTAAAAATGGCATGTATAAATATGTAGCTTTAGGTACAGTACTCTTAAGCTAAGAAGAGAATTCCCAAGTTAATTCATGACATGACAAATTGTCTGCTTTATCTTCCCATGTAATTCTACGTAGCATGGAAAATTCTCAGGCAGTACAATAAATTCCTTTAAACCAAAAATGAGAAAACTGAGCTCATTGCAATTTGTTTTAATGGGAACTGAAGAAAGAACATTTATATCAAACACATTTTATGGTTAATAAAGATATAGGAGTGAGTACAAAATAATCATTAATACATTGCCAAAATGATATTGGGTTTATAGTATGAGATCATAGGCAAAATTACATTATGGTTAGGCCTTCTGAAAAGTATCAGACCAGAGCCAAGTGTTTTTCAGTGTTTTGGATTATGTTATAATGGCTAGCAATATACAGAGAATAGGCTTTTAGGGAGACATTAGAAGCAAATTTAAGATATACGAAAAATTATTGACAAAAGTATTTTCAAAGAGCTCAAAGCAACAATATACTTTTGTATGTGTGCATAGATATATATTTATTTTATATATGTATATTCACACACTGTACATATTTTCATAGTATTACTCTGTGATCTAGAGGGAGAAATGGTGTAACTGGGAATACTTGGAATTAGATAGGTAGCTCAGGGCAGAGTTAGTGGCAGACCAGATCTAGTCCCCAGAACATTTTCTGTTTGAAATAATCTGCTGCTAAATGTTATGGAAGTAGTACTTTGTGATCTGCTGACTATGTAAGGCCTAAAAATTATAGATTTGGGGGTTGCACTAGTTTACATCTAAGGTCCTCCCATCCCTAATTTATTACCCAATATGCTGACTTGATTAGGTCAGCAAAAAAATGCACATATGCGCACACACACACACACACACACACACACACACACACACACACGCAAATGTTGTTTGAAGAATGGCTGAACCAGTTATGGTATGTGAATCAAACTAAGTCTCCTGACTCCAGCCTGGTGCTCTATCCTCTCTTCTACCTAGCTGCCCTAATAATCATCTGCTTTTGGGCTAATCATTTCTAATTGAATGTATTACCTTTTTAAAAGTTTCTCTTCATTTGACCATTTTATAATAAATGATACTGTCTGTGAAATTATTTGAATTTTTGTACTTAAAAGTCAGAATGGCTTAATGTGTAGAAAATTGGCCTAGAAGTATCAAGCATATATAAAAATCAGATCAATAAGGTGATCAATAAATAAAGTATGGCATTTATTCAGGGTCAGAGAATTGCAGTTTGGAAGAATGTACTGTCTTACTGAGATGGGGAAGTTCAGTGAGGGGAGTTACAGATAGAGGTTATGTATGAGGGTAGATAGATAGGTAGATAGATGGAATTGAAGTTCACAAGTTATTTATTGCAGGGTAATAGCACTTTTCCTAGAAAAACTGCAGGA